TTTGTAACACAACTGTCCAACAGCACTGCCCCACAGGAATACAGGGGCAATCCAACCCCTGTCACTCCACAATGGCTCCACACACAGGAAGATTTTTGACCCTCTCCCAATCTCATTCTTCCCTTTACCATGAGCTGAGACACTCCCAAGAACCATGTAGACATCTCACCTCCTTCCACCCCCACAGCAGGCTGTGGATTTCAGTGCTACCTCACAGCAATGACCCTCACAGGTGATGTGCTGAGCTAGTGAAAAAGTCAATTGAAAACACATTTATTGCCAACAAGGAAATGGACTGAAAGGAAACACAGGAGAATGTTCTGAAGCTGCATGGACTGCCACAGCACTTTCAGCTTTCAGGTGAGGAATTACCTTGCAAGGCAGGCACTAGATCTTCAGCAGCCTAACAGATGCCTTTCTCATTCCATGCATACACATAAATACAGTTCCCCTATTGCAATAGAGAGGAAGTGATACCTGATCTGTACCACCTCTTTTTCAGGTAATTGAGCTTCAAAACTAAAGCAGAAAAGCTGCCAACAAAACTTGCACATCTTTGTGCTACAGTTAGTCCATAACTAGTCTGCATCTGTTATCTCTACAGTTTTTATTAGCTCATGTTTACTTTGGCTGCACATCCAAGCAGGGTGAGAGAGAAAAATCTTGGACTCTCAACAATGGCCAAGCAGTTTAATCTGCCACTGGGGACAATGACTTGACTCCTATTGGTGTGTAGCACTGGCAGGGTCAAGTGTAACATGTGCTGAAGGAAGCACTAGGGAAGCAGATCTGTGACTGTTCCAACAACACTGAGCATTTCCTTGAGCTATTCAGAGGTTCCTTTGCCCCTTGTGTGTAGAGAAAACAGCTCCAGCTGTCCAGTCACCTGCGCTGGCTTCTCCACTCACTGGATTAATGACATTGGTGGCTGCCAAGAGCTCCAGGTTAGATACAGCACATTCCTCACAGCTCAGACATTCAAAGCTAAGTTAGGAAGCAGTCAAGATCATGTCCTTGGCATCAGCACCAGGTTGGTGCTGGAAGATAATTTATATTCCTGAACAGAACTGGTTCTGGGTAGGTTGGACATAAACATCAACAAATCCTTGTTCGGGCAATTACACTAATCAGAGGGGTCCAGAGTTAATATTTATCCGTGCTGCTGATTTAATAATTTATTATTATTATTATTATTATTATTTGAGAAGTCTGCAGTTTGCAAGTTTGGGACAATCTACAGTAATATATTCAGAGGCAAGTAAAAAATGAAATGAGTTAACGTTAACAGTCAGATGACCACAGGCCAGATCAAGCCAAGTTAGACTGCACTTAGAAGAACATAAATGTCAGGATTTCTATTCCATTGCTATTTCGATTCTGTATCAAGACATTTCTAAATAACTCTTGATTAACTATTAATTTAGCCCTTATAGACATGTCTTTCTGATACCTCACAGAGTAATATTATCCTCTTGGTGGGCCCCTGGGAGTAAGGGCAGAGTCATATGTTGTAACTGTTCTCCATTTAGCAACTACCAACAGACACAACTTGGTCATTCAGCAGAGGCAGTTCTGGGGTGAAATACAGGAAGGTAGAAGCCATATGACATTCTTCAACTTCTCCTTTCCCAATCAGACTCTTGATATTTTCTTCAACAGGAAAACTGACACTCCCCCCTCCCTGTAAATTGCTGACAATTGTATTTTACACCTGGCCAAAACCAGAACAAAACGGAAGGAAGAGATGAAACAAAGACCAAGGACTTTTCTCAGCTACTACATCTCCACAGAATGGAGCATTTTCCTTTCCACCACTTCTGAGTGGACAGAGTTCAGTAACCACAGCCCAGCCTTCCTGGGAAGCGGCCCCTCCTCGCTGGCAAGTGGCTGCAGGACAGGGCCTGTGGCAGCACCTTCCAGAGAGCAGCCAGAGCTGTGGGACCCACAAAACAGCACAGCCTGTGCAGCTGGGCCCCTCCGCCTGCAACCGCCCAGCCTGCACACACACTTTAAAAGTAACCCTAAACTCTTGGTAGTAATCTGAAGATTAAATACTGCTAGTAAAGCTTCTCTGCCCCACAACACCTAGTCTCTCTTTCCTATAAACAGCTGGTATCTGGGGTGAGAGCTGTCCACCCCTTGTTTGTTTTTTTTTTTTTATGAAGTAAAACATTTAAATTGATTTTGATGACATCACAGAGGCAAAACACTGTCAAGTTCTGAAGTTTACTAGGTTGGCCATGGAAATGACACCTATGTCAGCAAAAGCTGCCAAAGTCTCCTGAGGAATGAGGTGTAACCGCCTGTACTCTGAGCAAAACTGCAAACAGCACCTTCCTGCCAGAGCACCTGGGCACTCTGAGAACAGCCCATGCCAACCAGGGCTACTGAACACTGAACGCTGGAGGAGAAACAGTTTCTTACTTGAGCAATTACAAGGAATGATGAAGCTGTTTGTCCACTTAAGATGTTTGGTTTTTATTGAGACCAGTCAGCCTGCAGTTTTCTGTAAACCCTTCTTTATCACACAGAAGGTGAAGTAGAGCAACAAGGCTTAACTCCTGTCTCTGTCCTGAGGCTACTACTGCAAATGGGGCCCTTCAAGCACGGCCTCATGCAACTTATGGGCAGCAAAAATCCCACAGACATCGACCAGGATCCCGGTGAGCCACTAACAAAATCTTGTGCGTCAGTGTGGCAATTATCATATAAGTTGTTTTTCAGGGAGGGTGGGAGGGAATCACTTTGAGCACTGAGAGTAATCAATTTGTTCCATCTTCCTGCTGGCATTTCAAACACCAGCCGGCCGTGTAACAGCACCAGCTCAGCCACAATTAGGAACACAAGAGAAAGCATCCAACCTCACCCGGCAAGCAACAGAGCAAGTCCTGGCTGTGAACAGAACCCAGTGCTTCCAAAGTCACTGCACTGGGAATTTTGGTCACCTGCCTGCAGAGAAGTTTTTTCTGGCTCCATCAGTGAAGGGTTCACCTCCATCTTAAAGCTGCTAGGTCCAAAACAAGAAAAGACCACCACTGAGCTCATAACCCTTGGAAACTGACCAGCAAAGGCTGCATCACAGAACAGGGCTTCCTGCTAGGCAATTCTGGCTAGTTCCGAACTCCACCCTGCCTCCGGTGTGTCCCACCACTCTCTACACACAGGTTTAAGGAGTTCTTATTCCAAAACATACCTTTTCCTGTAGAGCATCTGCTATAATTAGTGACCACAACTAACCATATTGCCTATATTTTTGTCTCCTGTGCTATGCCACCATTCTTAAAAGTGTACAAGATTACAGACCCACCTGGGTAAGAATGACACTCTGTGCCTCTAAAGAAATGGACAGCAAAAAAAGCAAGAGAACCATATGGTCTGCATCCTAGGAAAAGGAAAAAGGATGGCACAAAAATAAGACAGAAATATCAGAGTTCCCCTTTCCTGCTTTCCTGCCTATCAGGAAGTTAAACCACATGTTGGCAAAAGAAATTAGGGAAATGTGGCAGTTTCAGGACCTGGTTAGCTAAGAGAGCCACAGATTCCTAATGCTTGGTAGAGGAGTCAGAAAAGCAAAAGGATTGTCCCTGCACTCTTTCCCAGAGGCCTGTGCTGCCAGCAGGATGCTGCATCCACCAGAGCTTTGCCCTTCCCTCTGCTCCTAGAATAGGTTTTCCACTTTGGAAAGATTTCTTCATGGTTTTCAAAACTCGGAAACAGTGAACATAGCAAATTCAGATTTAAGTACAGAGACCTCAGTATCAAATCCTGCCCTGTGAAGATAACCCCGGCATGTGCCATCCATTTGTGCTGTGAGTCTGTGGAGAAAAATTCCTACCACCACGCTTCGCCCAGGCACACTGGAACATGTATCCAACATTTCCATGAGTTCTCATGAAGGAGTCAAAGTGATTAATGTAACTAGAGGTTTAGAACTGGAAATTGATAAAGAGAACATTAAAAACGTTACCTGTAAGAAAACACAATCTGAAACACAACTGTGTGTGAGCAAAAAAAAAAAATTTCAAAGGATCCTGAGCTATTTTTTAATGCAAGACCCAAACTGTGACTTCCGAGTCTTTGTCTAACACACACACACACACACACACACACACACATACACACACAAAGCATAGCTACCCTGGGATTCTCTGGAAAAACAGCAACCACTAGGGATGTGTTGAAAATTTTCCTGGGCTGTGTTTGAGTATTTGGTTATAATTTACTCCTGGGTCTGTTGGTTGGGTAAAGTCTCAGCGCTCTCTTCATAAAATACACCTCATGCTCTCAACTTCAGTCTGAGAAAGGGCCATGGCCCGAAGACTTCGGTTTTTCCCTTTCGGAAATCGGTGTGAGCGGGGCAGCCCGAAGCGGAGCTTTCCTTGCCGGTACCACCACCGTTCCCGGGGGATGCCGCGACCCCAGGCGGCAGGGGGGACACGGCGCCTTTCCTTCAGCCCCCCGGAGCACCCCCGCCTGACTCCCTCGGGCCTCCGGAGCCACATCGGGCGGCGGCTCCCACCCCAGGCCCCGGCCTCGGCCTCAGCTCCAGCCCCAGCTCACCTGGTCGCTGTCCCGGGGCCGCGGTCCTCCTCTCTGCGCCCCGGCGATGGGCAGGCTAAGCTGGACTCGGCTGGCCTCGACTCAGCGATGCCGCCCAACCCCGAGGGCGGAGCCCGGCCCGGGGCGGGGCCGGGGGCGGCCCAACCCGTGCCCGCCCCGCACAGCGCTGGGGTGGCGGGAGGGGCTGCCCCGCCCTGACCGGGGGCGAGCGGAGTGGTCTCGCCCACTCGCGGCGGGATGAGCCCCGTCCCGGGGCACCTCCAATGGGTGGGACTGGGAGTTCCGAGCGAGGGTGACGCTCTCTAGAGCCCGTCCCATCGGCTCGGGGCCGCGCGCGCGCTCCCGCCGTCGCCATGGAGACAGCGCCGCCTGGCGGGCTACGCGCGCCGCCTCCGGCCCCTGGCCCCGGGCCCCGCCCGTTCCGGCGCGAGCGGCCCGCGTGTCCCCGCGCGGCCCTGAGAAGCGGAGTGACCCCCGGGCCGGGCCCTCGGAGCCGCCGGAGCCATGTCGGCCGCCTTCAGGAAAGCCGCCAAGGCGCGGCAGCGCCCGCACCGCGAGCGGGCCCAGGTCAGTGCGCCGGGCCGGGCCGGGCCCCGCGCGGGCCGCCTGCGCTCCTGGCCCCCTCACGCTCCCCGCTCCTCTCATGCTCCCCGCTCCTCTCATGCTCCCGTCTCTTCCTAGCCCGCCTCTCGGACGAAGCTGGGCTTGCTGGAGAAGAAAAAGGACTACCGGCTCCGCGCGCAGTAAGTGCGGCCGTTCCGGGCCCCGAGCGGTTCCCTGCGCTGTCTCCGAGCTCTGACCATCGCTAGGAAGGACTTGGCCCTTCATCGGGGCTGTGAACACCGAGAAACTGATGAACAACTAACTCCTTATTGCTGTTTTTTTTCTCCTCAGTGACTACCACAAGAAGCAGAATGCTCTCAGGGCGCTGCAGAAGAAAGCTCTGGACAAGAACCCCGATGAGTTCTACTTCAAAATGATACGGGCAGAGCTCAAAGTGAGAAGCTCTACTGCCTTCAAGCAGGATAATGCTCTGTTACTCTAAGTAACATTTTTCCCCCTATCTTGTTTTGATTTTAATTTATGAATTAGGAGGTAAATTAGCAACATTAGTTTGGTGCCTGTAGAAGGCTTTGAAGAAAATGAGGGGCAAAGCACAAAGAAGTTCTTCTGCTGTTATTATTAGGCCCCACAGTGTACTCCAGGTGGATGGGCTGTGGGTAAGTGCTGTATTTGTCTGGTTGTAGGATGGAGTCCATGTAATAAAGCAGCCAAAGGATGAAGTGACCCCGGAGCAGGTGAAATTGATGAGGACACAGGATATTAAATATGTAGAAATGAAAAGAGTGGCAGAAGCCAAGGTAATACCTCACTTTTTTGGTGTTTTCTAGTTTCCTTGGAATTGTTTTTTATAGAGTTGTTGTTGCTGGTTATTGTGTTCGTTTAGTGAAGTCTGATTTGTACAATACTGGAAAAGACAATGGAAATGTCAGTGAAGTGCTAGATACAGAACCTAAAAGTGTGATGAATATCAAATATGACATCTGAATTATTATAAAACATGGTGATTTTTATGTAAATTTCAGACATTAAACATGTACCCTTGCTTTGCATGTTCATAAGGAAATCATGGAATTGCTGAGGTTGAAAAAGCCCTTTCAGATCATCAAGTCCAACTGTTCAACCCGCACTGCCATAGTCACCACTAACCTGTGTCCCCAGGTGCCACAGCCACATGATTTTTGAATCCTTCCAGGGAGGATAATTCCACCATTTTCCTGGACAGCCTGTTACACTGCTTGACCACCCTTTCAGGGTAGAAATTTTTCCTGAAAATACCCAACCTGAACCTCCCTGGCATAGCTTGAGGCCATTTACTCTTGTCACTTGTTACCTGAGAGAAGTGACTGACCCCCACCTGGCCCCACCCTTCTGTCAGGAAATTATGGAGGGTGGGAAGGTCTCCCAGTTGAGGAGAATAATCTCAAGTAGGTTGTTGGAATATGGTAGGCAAGCAATCCATGGAAATATGGTCCCCTTCTGAAAATCTTGTGTACTCTGATGTTGATGTACAAATCAAAATCAACTTGTCACTGCAGATAAAAAATCAAAGCAAGCCAGCTTTGGACTTGCCTTCGTGCTTTTTCTGGTGGTCACATGGCAATTGTTCCCTTTGCCATATAGAATGCTCCATTCTGCAGGTGGATGTGTGCATTTTGGCTTGGTAACAGCAGGAATCGCTGTGACCCTTTGCCTGGAAAGGTCGTGAAGACGTGTCGTAAATATAGATCAGATGTGTTTTCAAAGATGAAAAAGGAAGGAGGAGTTCAGGTGTTTGTAGCCTTTAGGAACAGACAGAAATGTCCTCGGGGGAGACGTGGTTTTCCTCGCTCCGAATTCGACCAAACTTGGGCTTTCCGCAGAAAATCGAGCGGCTGAAGGCAGAGCTCCACTTGCTGGACGCGGCGGGAAGCGCCCCGGCCCGGCACCTCTTCTTCGTGGACACTGAGCGCGAAGGTGAGGTTTGAATGGGTCTGACAGAGAGCTAGTTCTGTCACGTGTTATTGTGTGCTGTCATAAAAATAGGCGCTTTTTTTTTTTTTCCAGGAATAAGAATTCAGGTGCTCTAGAAATCCCTTTTAGTTACTGGCTGGGATGTCAGTTTTGTGGGAGCCGTGTTGCTGGGGCTCCTGTAGCTAACTGTAGCGATATGTATGGAAGTTTTGCTGAGCAAAGGAGTCCATGGGAGTATATTCTTAAATTTTTTTCCTTTATTTATAGTTCAGGAGTTTGATATTGCCACTCAGCTGGACACTGTTCCCGAGCTCGTAGACAGAGTGTACAACCGACCAACCATTGCAACGCTGCAGAGAGAGACACTAAAGGGAGCTACTGATCCTGCCCACCTAAAGGTACTGCCACTGTTTGTATTACAGAGCTCTTCATGTTTTACATCTCTTATATAAAAAGCACTAAAGAGGATTCATTGCACTGTTGTGGAGGAGAACAAAATTGTTCTGTTGTCTTGAACTTTTATTGATAACACAATTAAGTGGATGTCACTTATTCACCAAGTGCCTGGAGCCTGCAGTCAAATCTGGACTGACAAGGAGAACTCTGCCAGTGCATTCTAGTCCATGGTGGGTTATATATCACAAGTTGTGATGTACAGGCCAGAACAGAGTGGTGTGGATCTGATGAGGCAGTTTTAAGTGGGATTTTTTTTTTAGCATCCACTGTTAAGTCTTCCCTCATACCTCCACAAAACCACTTGTACACCTGAATAGGTATTTGAAGAAGCTTATTCCAACACAGATATTTCTATTGCTGGGTTTCTGGTCTTACAGTATTTTTCAGTTTGGTTCAGAGCCCAAAGTGACTTGAGATTTGTCTTCCCCCTTTCCTTCTTAAAGGAATTCGAGCTATATTCTCACTTTCTCCTTTTCCTAATTTGAATTGTTTCATGATTCTTCAGCATTAATTGCTTATGCAATAGCTTTGCTATTGATGTTTTAGTATCACAGCAGTTTTGTCCTAGAAGTAGCTACACAGCTTTAAGGGTGTAGATACTGTTCAATTAGTTTCAGATCCGTTGGACAGTCTCTAAGTTGGTGTAAGGTAAAAATAGTTGTCTTAAAATTGGCAACTGGTAAATTTGTAACCTGTTTTTTCTGACTCAGATGTCAGATAACAAACACCCTGTGGTCCCTTTCCTCCTGCCAACTGTCTCAGTTTGGCTTGTCACTAAAGCAGTCGGACAAGTCATAGACTGACAAGTTTTCTCTTCTAAATGTCTGAGTCATATTTTAAGCATGTTGGGATCTGTTCTCCTGAATTTAATTACTTAAATCACACCTGCAGTAATACCATTTCTGTGCTGGGAAAGCCATCCACTCTCGTTAGGCAAACATGACCCAACAAGTTGCATTTTGATGGGCCTCTGCAGTCTCTAAGCACTTCAGGAATTGATCTCTGGTCTGACCTTATTTTTTTCCCTCTCCTCTGGATAAAGGGTTTTAATTAGGGAGTTTAATGTTCTCTTGTGCTCAGCATTGAAATTCAGAAGATTTAGACCATCTCTGTCTTAAAACAGCCTTTTTTTTTTTTTGTTTTTTTTTCTTACAGAAATTAGCCCAGCAGAGGAAGAACCAGTATGACCTCCTGAGGCAGCGCATTGAGAGGGAGAAGGCCATGTTTGTCATCTCACAGAAAATTCAGACACGGAAAGATCTCCTGGTGAGGGATTTGGTTCTGGTTCTGCAAATCTGTTCTCTTAAGGTCATTGGGGCTGGTATTGTATATGTTGTTCTGTATATATGTATGTGTGTTGTTTAGCCATCAGCGCGCTTGTAGCAAGCGTGGGTAGAGCCCTTCTCAGATCTTCGTTCACGAAGCCTAGCCATGATGTGTGTTGTATATGTTTCTTCATTCTGGTTTTATATTGACATTTCCAGAGAACTCCTTAAGATAAGTAATCCTCTTTTAGTATGGAAAAAGCAAGAAGATGAAGCATTCCAGTAAATTATATCTGCTACTCCAAGTCTTACCTTGTCAGCAAGGACAAAGACTCAACTGTGAAATTGTGCTCACAAGTCATTTCTCAAGCACTAAATGAACACTTTTAGGAGTCAGAGGCAGGGAACCATTTTTGTAGGTTACAAGAAACTCTTAAAAATCCAAATGACCACAAAAATCACTTGTCTCAATGGGAGACTCCTGTTCACTGGTGCTTCTGAGCAAATCAGACTGCGCCTGACAGCCTGAAGGGGAAAAGAGCAGAAGAAATTATAATTCCCTCCTAAACAGTGCAAAGTGACCATTTTTCACCAATGGTCAGACCCAGACAGGGACTGATCAATATGGGAATGGGTGGGTTTTTTCCTTCTTGCATGCCAGCAAATATTTGTTCTTTTTTCCAGGACAAAACTCATAAAGTAAAGGTGAAGAAAGAGACAACAACTGGTCCAGCTATTTACAAATTCAAGTTTCAGCGGAAGCGTTAGCCATTCCATCGAATAATTGTTACAGTCTTCGGTCAGAAAGGAGAAGGCTTTCCCCTTGCAGGAGGGCTGGTGCCAGCCTGCTTTTCTCTGCAGCCCAGCAGTTTGTTCAAACAAATTACTGTGGGCCTGTGGTAGCCATAATGTGTTGTATCTAAGTAACTGATTAATAAATCAGAGCTTGTTCTCTTGGTATTTATGGTGGTGAGCCACTAGAGGTGTCTGAGTGTCCTGGTAAGATGCACCATAAACAATCTGTGACCAGTCAAGGTCGGAGTGGAGCACGGTGGTAGTGGGTTGGGCACAGCCCAGGGACAAGGAAGGCACTTTGGGATTGACCGTGTCAGCTCTGGATGTGACCACGACCTGTCCAAACCCATGAGAGTTCAAATCAGCTTTTTCAGCTGTCTTCATGAAGGTTAAAGGTGAATCACTCTCTAGTCACTCCTCTAGCATCCTCCAGTGCCTCCTGTTCTCCCGCTACTCCACTGTGTGCAGAAGTCAGGCAGTGCCTATGCTGTGCCTCCAGAGTAGTCTCAGTTCAAAAAAAGACCAAAATTCTATGTATGGAGAGACAGTGCAGCAGCCAAGTGTGGGACAAGGATTTGCCCCCTGCATTTCCCTTGTGCCAGGTGTAGTGCCAGGGATGGGGGGGAGTGCAGACACATCCTGAGTGTCCTGGAGTGGCCCAAGCATGGCCAGAGAGCTTCGGTGTGAGCGTTCCTTTTTTTGTCTCTTTGTGCTGTATTGCCAGCAATAAGCACGTGGTCTGGAGAAAGATGCACTTGTTAGGTTCTTCCCACTTTGGAGCTTTCCCATCTTCTCAGCGATGAAATGTGAAGTTTTTACGTGCTTGAATGCAGCTCCATTCTTGAGCTTGAACGGCTTCTGCCGTTGCAAAGATTTACAAGCTGGCAACAACTTTGGGGTAAATTTTCCCAGGGAAGCAGCCAGGGAGTCTGCAGAACCTAGTCTGCAGGTTCTGTAACGGCTGTAAACCCCCGGCTGATCGGGGAGGGAAAACAAACACCCGCGCGGGAGAACGGTTCGCCTCGTCCTTGCTGACGGGAACACACAAAGGGCCGAACGCGGCGGAGCAAAGCTTTTCCTGGGAAAAGGGAAAAGTGCCTGGGACGGCGGGAGTCGCTGGTCGGGCTCGGCCAGCAGGGGGCGCCAACGCCCCGCGGCGGGACACGGAGCGGGGCTCGCGGGGGGGGGGGGGGGGGGGGGGGGGGGGGGGGGGGGGGGGGGGGGGGGAGCGGGGCTGCGCCCCCAAACCCCACGAACCGCTGCGGGGTTTCGGCACCTTTCAGTCCTCCTAAAGCGTACCTCAGGGGCCCCGCCGCACCGCCTGTTGTCCGAGAAGGGGAAATATCTTTGAGGTTTAAACAGATAAATACCTGATCATTGAGTAATTTTCCCTGTATCCAGAGCGTTACTCGAAGGGATGGGAGAGAAAAGCAGCAGTTCCTCTGGGAGACCCTGAAGGAGTCACTGTGGCAGGGATCGAAAAGCAGCAGCCTGTCCAGGCCCAGGGTTTGTCTGATGCCAACGGTGCTCTGTGAGCCTCTGTCCCACTCAGAGTGAGTGCTGGGATGGCTGCAAGTGACCCAATCCCTGGAAGAGAGGCATCTCTTCCCAGTAAGGAGTGAGGTTCTATGGGATGCAGTGGACAGCTGTGAGGCTTTGAGCAGTCACTGGTCAAGGGCCACACTTCTCATCCTGGGGGTAGTGGTGTTCACTGAGCTTCCAACAGGATCCGCAGCCTCGCAGTTCCCTGTATGGGAACTGGGGAGAAAAATGGTGCCTTCTCCGAGTCACTTTTCCCTGGGAAGCCATGAATGTCTTAACAAAGGGAAACCACAGCACTATTATGTCTGTGATGTCGCACTGAACAGGCTTCTTCCTGGACCCTGACCACCAAAGCCTGGGTACAAATCCCATGGGCTGTGGAGTAGTTTATCACCTTGTGGCCACAACAGACTGAAAGGAGGTGCCAGCTCTCACGCACAAACATGTTTTACCTACTCCTGCCTGCAGTGGTGAAGGATTTGGTGGGTGCTGATCTCTGAACTTCTGCCTTAGCAGACAGAGCTGATTCACACCTGCTGCCTTGCAGAGCTCCCGATGGTGTCCAGGAAAAAAACACACTTTCTCAAAGACCTTGCTCTTGGTTTGACTCCCAAAACCTTTAGCTTGGTTTCCTCATCCTAAACCACTGAAATGTTTCTGCAAGGGTCTGGAAAGAGCCAATACCTTATAACTGAACCAAACACCCAGCCCACTTGGCCACAGTGCAGGATTTGAAGTGAGACATCGATGGGCTCTGCCATCCTCTAGCTGGGCCCTCATGGGGATGGCCACGAGAAACTGCCCACAGCTATTTTTGGTCTGTGTTGATTATAGCATCAAAGGCTGAACCAACAGGTTCTCTGTCAAGGAGATTCCCTGCAGCTTGAAAGATACAGATATCATAAAGATATCAAAATACCCCACAGATTCACAGCTTAGGTTTCAGGTGACTCAGAATGATATTGTGCTGTATAATAATTTCATGTAATTCCTTGTTCAAGCTGAAGAATTCAATTGATAATGACTGTCTATAAAGGTTAATAGAAGACTACACTAAAATGCTTGCAGGATTATCTCTAGGCGGCTGCAACAATATATTTTACTAGCAGGAGAACCATCACCAGCCCTTAGGCTTCTCAGGTGGTTTCCTGTAGGCTTCATGTTCTGAACCTGAACTAGGCTGGAGACCACAGTGGGATGCCTGGGGCACGGCAACAGAAGCTGACGTGTCTAGGGAGGCTCAGAAGCCCCCCAGGACAGCCACTGCAGGGTCTGCATCAGTGGCCATGTGCTGTGGCAGCCAGAAGGACCCCCAGCGTCTCTGGAGGTCCCCAACAGGGGTTCTATCAACAGAGGAGGCTCCGATCCCACCCATCCACCACTCACAGGTGCTGCACCACGTGTTATGTCCCGCTCACCAGGAGCCCCGCAGCTCCTGATGCTGCTGTTGCAGGGTCACCAGGGAGGTGGTGGTCTCCAGCTGCAGGACTGGCTGCCCGGGCCCTGCTGTCACTAGGACCCTACAGCCAGGTTCAGCTGAGGTGTCTCGCCCAAGGGCACCAAGGAGAAAAGGGTGGTGGAGTTCCTCCACTCAAGCCTGAGCAGCGTCACAGCAGGGAGTTGAAAGAGCAGGATGTAAATCAGGAATGACTAATTGATGCTCAGCATGGCTGCCCTAAACCTCTCTGTTCCATGGGCTCCTTGGCCACCTGGACCTTTCCCCACCCAATTAGGAGCAGCATGGGAGCTGTAAAAGTCTGAACTCTGGGCAGACAGTACCGTCCCCATTCCTGCTGCCAGATGCTCAGACACAGCCATTCAGTTCCCTTCAAACAGAAAGTTCCTGCCCAAATTCCATTACAGAGGGTTTCAAATAAATAAATACCTGCTGCTGCCTCTGTTGGAAGATGCCAGGCATCAAGCGTGGACCCAGTGCTGGGCAAGGTGAAAGAAGCAAATATCTGCTTTGCTGCCTCACAGTTCTACACCTGAAGCCGTTAGTGCCTTGAGAGGACCCAGGTGACCAGCAGTGCTTCGAGCAGGCAGGAGCCCATTATTTAGTGAAACATATTCCCAGGATGTCCCTGGCTTGGCAGACCTAAAGACTGCAATAGTGAGATAGTGCATATAGATCATCATTCACCAAAGCATAAGCCCTGATGCACCTTTCTAGGGAAGCACTAATTTATTATGCATTGTCATTAGCTGCAGCAGGGCCTTCATTAGAGCTAGAGTTAAGGTCTGTTTTGGCTGCCTCATCAGCATCAGTGAACTGTGTCCCTGCGAGGTTTGATACAATTTAATTAACCTAATTAAAAGCTCTGATTGCAGAGATGATTGGGGTAGAGCCAGCAGCAACTGCATATTTATAACGAGCTGGAAGGTGTGGGACTGGAGCCAAATGATACGCATCTCTAATGAGCTGGTGCTATTGAAGTGTGGATTTGGAACACTAACATTTATTTTTGGCAACAATGGCCAGTTTATCTTCATGAAAGAAATGATCATGGATTGATTGGATGTAGAAGGGAGCTCAGCACTGTGCTCCCTGGGCTTCTCCAGACCAGTGGCAGCCTCACAGAAGAACCCACAGCCCACCTACTCCCCACCAATGCCCCCCGGCAGGCAGACACAACCCTCCCCAGCTCAGGCCATTGCACCTCTCACACAGTGCCCTGTGAGGGGCACAGCTCAGACAATGTGCATGAGCCACATGCACACGCTGGCAGCCCTGGATGAGCCCTGGAAGATGCCAGCAAGTTTCCCTTTCCCAGCCACCATCTCCTCCAGATCTCCCATTCCACCTCCACCCTTGCCCAGCCCTCCTGCCCCACAGCCAGGCTGAGCTCCTGGTACAGGGAACCCACCTCCATTACTCCTCCAGGCATCAAATACTCCATGCCCTGATCTCCTGCTGAGCACCAGGCACCAGTGCCCAGACAACATGAAGCAGGCCAGAGCAGAGATCTGCCTGTGCACCAGCACTGGGGCTCCAGGACTGCTGCTGGCTAGGCTGGTGAGGACCAGCACCTGCCCACAGCTTACCCACCACAGTCAGAACCTCCTCCCATCCCATTTAGGAACAGAGAGGCTGTCAGCTCCTCACAGCCTTGGGCTCTGCAGGGATGCTGTGGCAGAACAGGGGGGTTCCTGGCAGTCCAGGTCAGGGAATCCTCATTTCTGTGCCACAGCAGCTGCCATCTCAGTAGGGCCCCTTCTCCCTCCATATTTAAAGGCTACAGGGTGCTGTGTCTAGCTGGGGCAGTGGGATGTTCCAGGCATCCTCAACAGCCAAGGAACAGCAGCATGTCTGCCACGTCACTTGGAAAATTTGATCCATG